TCCTTAATTACAAGAGCGCCACGGCAGACACGCCGTGTTCCAGCGGGTGGCCGTGTCCTCGTGTCGGCTTGAAAGATCGTTGCCAGGGATATATCTGTATCTCGGCAGAGAGCTTCAGCCTGTGTAGTCCAGCTGTGCTCAAATGGAAATCCGAAAACCCAGATGTTGGTCCAAACACCCTGTCTTGGGGAGCTGGCTCTGCAAGTCCCCAACAAGGGAGAGAACTGGGAGGGCCACATGCCCTGCCTGTCCACATCTCTGCCTCGTAGGATCCTGGCCTCTGAGAACCAGGGGACATGGTAAGGAATTGGCAAGTCTTGTGCAGAAAAGCAAGATGACACCCAAATCCACTCTGCTGTCTAGGTGGAGGATACTCTGCTCTGTACCACACCACCACGCCGGTACATGAGGGGATGGACGACGGCGGATGGAGAGCCCAACTGTAAAACGATATTGCCCAAGTATTTCGTGCTTTGTCTGTGTTTCAGTGCTATGCCCACCCCAGCGCGGTGGCTCACACCTGTAATCCAGCACTTTGGGAGGCCAAGGCAGGTGGATTACCCCTGGTCAGGAGTTTGAGAAGAATTTAGATAAGAGACAGAAGGGAAAGGGATCCTAGAGAAAAAGAGTTGTGGTTCTTAGGTCTACCATCCAGCAGGAAGGAAATGTACAAACACATGAGTGACACTAAAATCAGTCTTCAAAAAGGCAAAAGGATGTAATTATGCTTTTAGACAAAATCTTGCTCTGGTGCCCAGCCTAGAGCCCGGAGGCATGATCATGGCTCACTGCAGCCCTGACCTCCCCATCTCAGGCAACCCTTCCACCTCAGTCTCCCAAGTAGCTGGGACTATAGGTGTGTGCCACTGCACCCTGCTAATTTTTTAAATTTAATTTTTTCTAGAAAGTGGGACTCTCTATAAAAAGACGGAGGCCGAGGCAGGCAGATCACTCCTGGTCAGGAGTTTGAGACCAGCCTGGCCAATGTGGTGAAACGCCATCTCGACTACAAACACGAAAATTAGCCGGGCGTGGTGGCATGCACCTGTCACCCCAGCTACTCAGAAGGCTGAGGCAGGAGAATCACTTGAACCCAGGAAGCGAAGGTTGCAATGAGCAGAGATAGCACCACTGTACTCCAGCCTGGGCGACAGAGTGAGACTCCAACTTAAATAAATAAATAAATAAATAAATAAATAAATAAATAAATAAATGCTAGGCCTAGACTCCAACTTTAAATAAATAAATAAATAAATAAATAAATAAATGAATGCTAGGCCTACCATTTTCCATATATTGTGCCATGAGGAAATCCCACATACCCTTCCTATGAGATTGTTTCTCATTCTCTCCATTTTATAGATGAGAACACTGAGGTCCCTGGAGCAGGATTAACTTCCCAAGGCCACATTGCTCGTTAAGGGTGCAGCAGGGACCCAGGCTGGACACTCTCACCCTCAAACATTTTCACAAGTGTAGACCAATGCCTCTCAACGGGGGTGGTTTTGCTCACACACCACTGCCTTACCCCAAGACATATGAAACCGCCTGGAGACATTTGGAGCAGCTACGGCTGAGAGGGGGGATGGTATCTAGAGGATGGAGACTAGAGCCGCTGCTAAACACCCTGCAACACGCAGGACAGCCCGCCGCCACCACCAAGCATCTGACCCCAAGCACTATGACTGTGCCAAAGCTGAGAAGCCCAGGTTTCCCCCCAGCAAGAAGAGAAAACACCTGCACCGTGGATTCACCTCTACGGGAGCCCAGGCTGACAATAACCTTCCTGACCTGCTTCCAGCCCTGGACTGGATGCTTTCACCTGGCGAGTCCATCAGGGACTTCAGGGACTCCGACGAGTTATTACCCTTGAATGTTCGGTTCTGCCTGACAACCCAGAAACCTCTGCCGAGCTGCCTGGTCTTGGGGAAGGCTGAGCTAATGGTTGAGGTTGATAACCAAATACATAGAAGAGGCTTTCCTCTCCCTCCTGGAAGAGCTGTGGGTCAGACACACCCTGGCATCATTCACAAGGGGTCAGTAAAGGCTTGGGGAGGGCCAGGTTTTCTATGACTTCTCAATGGGGTGGATGTTTGTGGATATACAGGAAGCCCGTGACACTTCTGATATTGGCAGGGAATCACCCCTCATAAACAGATGCCCTGCAGCAGGACTTGACACTCAGGGGCCTCTGGGATCCCGATTTACCTGCTAAAGCATCTTCCAGCCACCACCAAAGAAGGCAACCCCTTGCCACCCAACGACAAGAACACAGCCTGGGAGCCACCCCAAGGGACACCCAGTCACATTAAAACCTCAGCCATGCAGAGCACCAGGCCTGGTGATGAGAAAGAACATTTTACCCTTAAAAGCATCTCAATGCCCATGCCGCTTCTTGCAGAGAAAACTCCAAAATAACCTGCTATTAAAGAACAAGGATGGTTTTGACATTTTTACCAAGCTAATGGTCTACGCAGACAAAATCTCATAAAAGGGCACTGTGTTCTTCTTGATCCACTCAGACATAACCTACGAGTGAAGAAACGGGCTCTCCTCCTCAAAGAAATCACTGCTGATCCTCACGCCAGCCTGACACTGCTTCCTGGGTTCTTCAAAGAGAGTATTCCCATAGAAACTAAAAAGGAAGAGCAATCTGTCTGACAGGCTGTGTGAGCAGCAATGGGCTTTGGGACAAACTGTAAGTTTGAAAATCAAGATTCCCTCTTTTCGAGGGGACACTGGACTGAGCAGATGCAGGCACCCCAAAAAGAGGGTACCACATTCAGATTCAGAAAACAAGAATGGTTCCTACTTGGTTCCTCCATCCTTCAGATCACAGGACTCCCATTTCCCCTGGTGGGCCAAAAAATTCAGTGGGGTTTCTGCCTTTTAAATATTTCATTATCAATATATAATCTTTTTAACCACCAAAATGCATTTTAACATGAAGATTCTGGCTTAAGGCCCGTGTGTGTATGTCTGTCTGTCTCTCTCTCTCTCTTCCTTGAGACATTTTGTCACCCAGGCTGGGGTGCAGTGGCACAATCACAGCTCACTGCTGCCTTGACCTCCCAGGCTCTAGAGATCCTCCCACCTCAGCCTCCCAAGTAGTTGGGACTGCAGGCACAAACCACCATACTCAGGTTGGTTTTTTTTGTTTGTTTTCTTTTTGGTAGATATGAGGCTTCACCACATTTCCCAGGCTAGTCTCAAACTCCTGGGCTCAAGCGATCCTCCCCACTTGGCCTTTCAAAGTGCTGGGATTATTGGCTTGAGCCACCACACCCGGCCAAGAACCTTGTCTCTTGTGATGCACCCCACAACTAAACATCGCTCCAAACACACACCAAGGCATGAGTTTCAGTCCTAAGTTCCATGTAACAGGCAAACACTCCATACCAGACACAATGCTGAGTGCTGTCTACAGGCGAGCTTCTCTTCCTCTCAGCAACAGCAGCGCCATGAAATGGGGCCTGTTGGCAGATCCATTTGCCACTGAAGACACTAAGGCTCAGAGAGGGTGAGTGACTTGTGCCAGGTCAGCCAGCCAAGGAGGGGCAGAATCAGGATGCAAACCCCAGCCGCCTGGCTCCAGACCCACATTCCCAAGGTTGCACTAGACTTGGTGGCTTCACTGCATTCTGGTATCCTGGTCTGTGGTAGAGTCCACATAAAACAGGGAGGGAAAGGGAGGGAAAGGGACTTCACACAATCAAGTTTCACGCGTTACACTGCCGCCATAATTGTGTTCCCAGTCGGGACATCACCCTTATCCTTTCCGTGATGGGGCCGAGAAAACCTTCCAGAGAACTGTCCTCCTCCTCCTCCCTGGATCTCAGAGAGAATTCACCTGCATTTGGTGTCCAGGTGACTCAAGCTCTGAAGGCAGTAGCGTGCACAGGGAGATGAGGGTGTCACCAGAAGAAAGGCTCCCAGGCAGCCTCCAGGAGCAACCCCAAGCCTGGGCAGGGGGGCTCTGATGCGGCCCAATGCGAGGAGAGCTGCCCGCGCTGCCTACATGTGTTCAGAAGGAAAGGAGCCCTCTCTCACACGTGGGGCTCATTAACCAGGAATCAAATTATTAAGACAAGCTCAGCTGAGCAAATGGTCAAACATTAAAAACATTTAGAAGGCGCAAAGAGGTCAACCCCATTATCCATCAAAAGCCATCGAAGTGGCGGCCCTCACTAAGGGTACTGCTATCCAGCCGGCCCTCGTCTGCCCTCCAAAGCCAAGTGCCTCCCCAGTCGAAGGCCAGCAAAGCCACACAGGAAGATTTGGGGTGGGAAGCACAAAGTGAGCCCCAGGAGGCCAGACAGGCCACGGAGCTCCATCCCACACACACAGGCCCGGTGACTCAGGGACCCACGTGTCCAGCACACGGGGAGCTCACAGGGACAGCGCCCGGGGGATGCCAGGAACTTTGCCTCTCCGTCCCTCTCTGAAGGGATGGAAAGAGGAGAGCGATTTCTGGGATGGAAGCCATCTGCCTCCTCTCAACTCTCGCTGCCCAACCAGAAAGGGAAGAAAAACAGGAAGATGCGGGGCAGGTGAGGAGCTGGGTGAGCGCCGCCAGCCCGCAGCCCAGCAGGGCAGGGCTTGGCCAAGCCTGGCGCCAGGGAGTTCCCCACCCAAGCCCCTCGACAGAGTCCCAAGCAGGTGCCCACACAAGATGCCCGGGGTGGGGGGCACATGCGAGGGCTGCCCAGCGCAACCCCTGCCCCTTCCCCTGCTGGGGGCCCCCAGCACGCGGGGCTCCCCCTCCCCTGTGTGGCCACCGCAGCGTCCAGCGGGTCTCCAGGACAGGGACGTCGTGGGAGGATAAGGAAGTCAGAGCCACGCACCCGAGCAGGGCCGCTGGCTTCCCGGAGGTCCCCCCAGCTGCCACTCCGCGCGCGGGAGTTGCCGCTCAGTTACCAACTTCCACCCGGGGCCGGCCCCGGAGCCGCCCGCCGCCCCCGCCCCGCGCCCTGGCACCCCGGGCCGCCGCACCCCATCACTCACCGCTCTGCCGTCGCCACCTGTCTGGGTGCCGGTCTCCTCCCGGCCCGGCCGCGGCGCGTCCTCCCCGTCCTCGGGCCCCGCGCCGGCCCCCTCCGGCCCCAGCCGCAGCCTCTTCTCCTCGGGAGGGACGTCGTCCTCCTCCCTCCTGGGCCGGCCGTCCCTGCCTCGGGGCTTGCCCGTGGCTTCGGCGCTGCCGGAAGGGCTGGCCATGGCTCCGGGGGCTCTGCCTGCACTTCGGGAGACGCAGGACCCGGCGCGAGCGGCCTCTCCGCGGAGCTGGGGCGTCTGAGCGCGGGCTCGGCGGGTCCGCGCGGCGCGGAGCTGGGCATCGGGGCCGGCGCGGGCTCCTCCGCGGGCCGCTCCTGGCTCTCTGGCGCCCTCTGCTGGCCGCTCGCGCGCACCGCGGACTCACCGGGCCCGGCCTGCGCCGCGCTCACCTGCCCCGGCCCGGGCGGTCGGATCGGTGATGTCCCCTCCCCGGGGCCAGGCCCACTCCGGCCAGGGCATGCACCTCCACCCCGCCCCGGCCAGGTTGCACCCCGATGGTCTCCCTGCCCAAGGAGGAGAGAAGACAAGGGACGCACCCAGGGGGTGGACATCAGCCACAGCCACCTTGTCTTTCTCTTAGCTTGCATCTTGCGTGATTTGGAGGTGGTGGGAAAACCGAGGCTGCTCAAAACTCGCCTGCAGGATGACACGCATGCATCTTTGCATTGCCTACCTACAAATATTTTTTGATCGTCAGTGTGGACCAGGCGTGGTGATGGGGGAGGGGATATAGTGGTGAACATGACAGGCATTGTCTTCGCCCAGTGAGGCCCAGCGCTGCAGATGGACATTGTCAATTGGGCAGAAGGACGCCATGGAGAAGTGCTGGGCGCATGGAAACTGAAACAGACAGGAGGCTCGATGGGTCTTGGAACCAGGAGAGGGACAGCACAGGGGCTGTTCCAAAGGAAGGGACAGCTGAGACATGTGTCAGGAAGTTGTTTCAGCCCAGTAGAGGGTGTTTGGGCAGAGGGAATAGCACGTGCAAAGGCCCAGAGGCTAGGAAAGAAGCAGAATGAGAGTCTGGGGCCAGAGCTGGTGGGCAAGGGGAGAGAGGTGTGATGAGCCGATTGGCTGGGACCCGGCCATGCAGGGACAGAGGAGATAGAGGATCCTTGCAGGCCCAGAGCTCAGGCACAGAGACAATGCAGGTGGACTAAAGGAGGAGACGTTGAGAAATATTTTGGAGGCAGGCACTGATGAGTGAGCACAGGGTGCACCCTTAGCATCAGTGTGGGGCTCCTTCCTTGGCTGTGTGATGAGCTGAGCCAGCAGATATTTTCTGGACATTGAGGTGCTATGTCCAGAGTCCAGGACAGGCTAAGTGAGCACCAGCAGCTCCTGGCTCACCTCAAAGGCAGCGGAGGCTGGGGAGGCTGGGGAGGCTGGGGAGGCAGGAGAGTCTGGGGAGGCTGGAGAGGATGGGAAGGCAGGGGAGGCTGGGGAGGCAGGAGAGGCAGGGGAGGCAGGAGAGGCTGGGGAGGCAGGAGAGGCAGGGGAGGCAGGAGAGGCTGGGGAGGCAGGAGAGGCTGGGGAGGCAGGAGGAGCAAGGAAGACCCGCGAGGCAAGGAAGACAGGAGAGGCAAGGGAGGCTGTGGAGGCTGTGCCCCTTCCATAATTCTGCCCAGGATCCTTGACCCCTGTACTCCCTGAGCTCCCCCACTCCAAGTGCTGGGACCATGTTGCACAACTGTTTCCCCGCTAAGCTCCAGAAGGCAGCCCCTACCCTGCTGTGCTTCCTATTTCATCCCTAACAGCTCTCACAGTGGGCAGCACATAGTAGGTGCTCAGGAAACACAGGTGGGTGAGCACATGGGTCTCTCAGCACTGTCCTCTCTTCTTTAGCTTTTCCATGTCACCAGCACAAATAATTCTGATAATGATACAAGATTTGAGACCTTCTTCTACAACTTTCCATATGCTAATCCATCTCTACTTCACAACAGCCCTGTGGGTGGGTGCTATTAGGATGCCCATTTTCCAGAGGAGGAGACTGAGGCATAAAGAGGGTGACATGCCCAAGGCACACTACAGGGGCCAGGGCCAAGTGGCCACAGCACTCAGTCCTGAAAGGCAAGGTGGATGCAGTTACCCTAAAGGACAGCAGAGTCAAAGCTGCAACCAGAATAGCCTGACTCGCAGGCCTATGGTGCCAACTGATCACAGTGTTTCTAGAAGTGAAATAGATAAGAAGCCTGCCACATTTTTACTTGATCTGTGTTTGCAGAAGAGTTCTAGGTCAGGTGAGCATAAGTCTATCTTGAATCATAAAAACAGACTCACAGTCCCCAATCAATTCCCACACATAAGCCAGTTCACAGACCCTCAGCCCCTTGTCTGAATGGGAGGCCAGGTCCCCTCCAGAAAGGACTCTGCTCCATTGCCAGAAACATACTGTCAATCTTTTTCCCAGCCTGCCTCCAAAGGAATATGTAGCCTTTTACCAGGATGACTGCATAGAGGAAAAGGAACTCATCAGACCTGGACATGGGCTCTCAGTTGGCACTAGAGCCGGGGGACCCAAAACAAAATGAGGGTCTACCAGTCAGAATAGGGGTTTTGGAGGTAAGGTGAATGTTGGTTCAAGTTCATGTCATGGGTGCATCCAGTGGGTCCCCAAACCCATCCTCTGGTTATATACAAAGTGGCAATGCTGAAATTCAAATTCAGGGCATCCAGCAGAGAGGCTGCGCTCTCACCCGTGAAACATTCTGATATCTCTGGAAAGAAAATCGTCATTCAGGGTTCCAGTCCCCACCCACACAGCCTGACCCAATTCCAGTGCCCAAGGTCATCGTGTCAACCCCATCTTTTGCAGCATTTAAACTAGGCAGGAAAATTAGGGACAATTAAAAGGACATGGGGGTCACCAGCTAGTCGTAGACTCTCTCTGGTATGTATCATAAATATCTCCCTTTCTGAGGTTTAATTTGGACATACTCTGTCCCAGTATGCAGCATACCTTGACAGGGTCTCGCTCTCTTGCCCAGTCTGGAGTGCAGTAGCACAATTATGGTTCATTGCAGCCTCAACCTCCCAGGCTCCATCAATCCTCCCGCCTCAGCCTCCTGAGTAACTGGGACTACAGGCGTGCACCACCACACCTGGCTAATTTTTGTATTTTTTGGAGAGATGGGGTTTCTCTATTTGTCCAGGTTGGTCTTGAACTCCTGGGCTCAAGCAATCTGCCCATCTTGGCCTCCCAAACTGCTGGGATTAGAAGTGTGAGCCATTGCGCCCAGCCTCCTCTTCCTCTTGACGGTGAATTCTGTAAGAGCCAAGACTACAGGCTCATTATCATTTTTGTTGTTTAATTAATAGACTTTATTTTTTAGAATAGTTTCAGGTTTACAGAAAAATGAGCAGAAAGTGTAGCGTTCCCATATATGCCCTCACATCCTCCTATCCTGTTTCCGCCGTTACTAACATGTGGTTGTAATGTAGCGCATTTGTTGCAAATGATGAGTCAACACTGATACATTATTGTTAACGCGAGTCCTTAGTTTAGGTTTCTCTCCTGGTGTGTTGTACATCCTTTGAATGGATGGGACCATCCACTATTGGATCTACCATTACAGTGTCACACAGAATTGTCTCACGGCCCTACAAATCCCCTGTGCTAAGCTGGTTCATTCTTGAATCTCCATTGCTTTTCTATGGTACCAAGCGCTCAGCTGGAGCATGTGGTTGTTGAATGGACGGATATTGGAACAAGTGCTGCCAAATGTTTCCATCCTGGACCAGTAAAGAAAATTGGCCCGGATGGTTTTTGTTTTTTTGTTTTGAGACGGAGATTTGCGCTTATTGCCCAGGCTGGAGTACAATGGTGCGATCTCAGCTCACCGCCACCTCCGCCTCCCAGGTTCAAGCAATTCTCCTGCCTCAGCCTCTGGAGTAGCTGGGACTGCAGGCATGCACCACCACACCCAGCTAATTTTGTATTTTTAGTGGAGATGGGATTGCTCCATGTTGGTCAGGCTGGTCTCAAACTCTCGACCTCAGGTGATCTGCCCACCGCAGCCTCCCAAAGTGCTGGGATTACAGGTGTGAGCCATGCACCCAGCCAGCCCTGATGTTTTAAATGCCCTGACATCAGAAGAAAGGGTATGAGTTTACCAAACCACTGGGATTAGCTCCCCAAAGAACCATTTCCCCAACTAGATCTGATGATCAAGACAGCAGACAGTCCAGAACAAGGGGGGTCGCTTTTATTCTGACCTGGGAAAAATGTCTGTACATTCCTTGGGAGCCCAGAAAATGTCAACATCGGGGCCAACAGACAAAAGAGGAAATGTCTAGAGAAAGAAGAAGGGGTTCTTTTTCTATCAATCTGAGAGGAGAATTCTCACCACTTCAGGAGTAGATGTCATAAATAAGTAATAAAGCAGCAAGCAGAAGTGATGGAAACTAGAAAAGACATTGTAGATATTTGTTTTGGTTTGGTTTTTTGTTTTTGTTGTTGTTTTTTAAAGTTTAAATATATATAAGTTTTTTTGTTATACTTTAAGTTCTGGGGTACGTGTGCAAATTGTGGTGGATTGTTACATAGGTATACACATGCCATAGTGATTTGCTGCATCCATCCCCCCATCATCTACATTAGGTATTTCTCCTAATGTTATCCCTCCCCAATTCCCCCACCCCCTGCTATCCCTCCCCTAGTCCGCCCCCACCCCCCAACAGACTCCAGTGTGTGATGTTCCACTCCTTGTGTCCATGTGTTCTCATTGTTCAACACTCACTTATGAGTGAGAACATGTGGTATTTCATTTTCTGTTCTTGTGTCAGTTTGCTGAGAATGATGGTTTCCAGCTTCATCCATGTCCCTGCAAAGGATATGAACTCATCCTTTTTTACGGCTTCATAGTATTCCATGGTGTATATGTGCCACATTTTCTTTATCCAGTCTATCATTGATGGGCATTTGGGTTGGTTCCGAGTCTTTGCTATTGTAAACAGTGCCACAATGAACATATGGGTGAATGTGTCTTTACAAGAGAACAATTTATAATCATTTCGGTTTAAACCCAGTAATGGGATTGCTGGGTCAAATGGTATTTCTATTTCTAGATCCTTGAGGAATCGCCACACTGTCTTCAATTGTGGATATCTGAAGGAAGACAAGCCTTCTGCATCGATGGCGTCTTTAGGCTCCTGTCCTAACCCCCACACCCACAGAGAAGATGCATCTAACCCCAGTGAGTACCTGGGTCCCATCACAAGGAGACCCTAAGATGATGATTCAAGTGCAAGAAGCTTATTTTGGGGGGTGATACCAGGAAACCCTACTGATATCCTGGGGATACAGGATGAATATGGAGAAGGGAAGACAGCCGGCAAAAGGTTTGTTATCCTCTCGGTGACCGCCGTGGGCATCCTAGGACTTAATCTGACTGAGAGAACGTGTAGACGGTGCAGCTCAGACATCCTGCCTAGGCCTGCAGGAGCTGGATGATTCCTTCCTGAAATCTCACCAGTCACAACCGAGAGATACTCCCTAGAGGTCCTTAATTTCCAAGAACTTTCAGGGAAGTGGGCATTGGCGGCCACTTCAGGCCGCCAAAGAGCTTCAGGCAAAAGTGGCCAGAGTGCACAGGAATAGTAAGGCCACCAACAACACATGTCATGGAGCCAAACCCAGCCCTAAGCAGGCCACTCCAGCCAGACACAGGGAGCAGGGTGGCCTCAGAAGGATGGCAGAGCAGTGACGAGGAAACTCTTTGGGCAGGTCTCAAGGACACCTGGATTCCCCGCTTCCCTTCCACCATGGGGCTAGAGGGCAGGTACCTTAGCTCGGGTTCTGCAGGCTGAACTCTAATCCAGTTCGGGCTTCAGCCTTCATAACTGCATTAGCTCAGGAGGGACTGGACCTCTGGAAACCCCAGTTTCTTCATCTGTAAAATGGGCATCACAACAGTACCTGGTGGGATTGTTATGGGAACTTAACAAAATTATGCATGTAGAGCTCTAATCCTAACACCCAATAAGGGCTCAAAAAGTGTTTGTTTTTAAATATGATCAGCCCAGGTACTTTTTTCTTTTCTTTTTTTTTTTTTTTTTTTNGGTATAAGAATATGCATTGAAAAATATGTCTTGGCTGGGCACAGAGGCTCATACCTGTAATCCCAGCACTTTGGAAGGCTGAGGCAGGAGGATCACTTAAGCTCAGGAGTTCGAGACCAGCCTGGGCAACATAGGGAGATCTCATCTCTATAAAAAAAAGTAAACAAAAAATTAGCCAGGAGTGGTAGCATCAGCCTTTAGTCTCAGCTACTCAAGAGGCTGAGGTGGGAGGATTGCTTGAGCCCTGGAGGTCGAGGCTGCAGTGAACTGAGATGGCACCACTGCATTCCAGCCTGGGTGATAGGGCAAGACCCTATCTTAAAGCAAAAGAAAAAGATGTCTCTCCTGACTTCCCAGGCGCCCACTTCTCCATCTTAGAGGCATTTATTGTAGGAAATTTTTATAGCTATAATTGTTTAATACTTAATCATCTATTTTTAGACAGTATGAATTACTTCCATTATGAGCAATAATAACATTAGTATATTTCGTTTCCACATCCTCATATTATCTGATTTTTGTTTATTGTCTTTCTTAGTATTTACTTTTATCCTTAAATATATTTGCCATCTATTATTGCTATACCAGATTTTCAATGATTTCTTGTATCTCAATCTCTAACTATTACAGAAATCATAGTAGTTAGGTCACCTCATACCTTCTCACTCTCTAACCCTCCAAAATTTTAATAGCTACATCACTTCTACATCATCAGAATTTATAGATTTAACTTTTCATCCTCAACCATAACATGAGATCTGTTTTGGTCTTAATCCTGCAAATAGAATGGATGTTATACTGCAGTTTTTCCATTGAGCTTTTATTTGGCTGAAGTTTGTCTATAGCAGTTTCTTTAAGAAGGGCTCAAAAAGTTAGAATCCTTGGCTCCCGGGTGACTAAAAAGTATTCGTATGGGGGTCAGGCATGGTGGTTCATGCCTGTCATCCCGGCACTTTGGGAGGCGAGGCAGGTGGATAGCTTGAGGCCAGGAGTTAAAGACTAGCCTGGACAATAAGACAAAACCCCGTCTCTACCAAAAATACAAAAATTAGCCAGGCTTGGTGGCGCACACCTGTAATTCCAGCTATGCACAAAGTTTTATAAGGCACAAGAATCGTTGGAACCTGGGAGGCAGAGGCTGCAGTGAGCTGAGATCACACCACTGCACTCCAGCCTGGGTGACAGAGTGAGACTCTGTCTTAAAAAAAATAATAATAAATTTATATGTTGCCTTTATATTTGAAAATTTTAACTAGATTTTTTTAAAAAAATGTTTGAGTCACACTCTCTTTCTCTAAAGCTTTGTGAACAAAACTCCATTGTTTTCTAACATTGAATCTTTCCTGAAGAGTCAGAGGCCAGCCTTACGGTTCCCTCTTATAGGTGGCTCAAGTATTTCCTCCCCACCAAAATGCCAAGGTCTCTCGCTTCATCTTTGTAGTCTTATAACTTTCCAGATGTTACTGCTGTTGATTAGTCTGTATCCATTTTTTCAATAAGGTGAGTCCCTTCCAACTGTAGATTCGTGTCTTCTATTTCTACTAAATAAATAAATATCTGGATTTTTTTCTTCTAATTTTCCGGGACAATGCACGTTCAAATTTTCTTTTACTCCTGGAAATGTTTATTAAACATTTAAATATCTTTTTTTTTTTTTTTTAGACAGACTCTGTTGCTCAGGCTGGAATGCAATGGCATGATCTCTGCTCACTGCAACTTCTACCTCCCAGGTTCCAGCGATTCTCCTGCCTCAGCCTCCCAAGTAGCTAGGATTACAGGCATGTGCCAACACGCCCAGCTAATTTTTTGTACCTCTAGTAGAGATGGGGTTTCACTATGTTGGCCAGGCTGGTCTCAAACTCCTGATCTCATGATCCGCCTGCCTCAGCCTCCCAAAGTGCTGGGATGAGAGGTGTGAGCCACGGTGCCTGGCCAGCTCGGGTACTTTTCTTACAAAAAGCTGAGTCTAGCCCTGAAGTTGAATGAGATTCTGGTGAAGAAAAGGAGGGAGGCTGAATGCTGATGAGACTGCGGACCAAGGTTGGGAAGTCAGAGGCGGGGGCTGGGGAACTGCTGCAGCTCACTCGGCAGCTAGATTGGCCATTAGAAGCTTTGAGACCCACATCTTAAGCTGGTCGTGAATTAGGGCATGAGGAAAGTAAAACCCAAGGTTTGGCTTCCCTGCTGAAATCCCTCTTGCAAACCTCTAGCTATTTAGGAGGGGAGGGGGAGAACCCAACAATTAGAACCACCCACAAACACCTGCCTCAGCTTCTCAGCTGACTCCCCAAGACTCTATCAGGAAGAGATGGTTGCTGTCCCTGAGCTCCCTGCTATCTGCCCTACATAGGTGCCCCCGTAAGAGCAGATCCCTGAGTTCAAGGTGTCGCTGCTTCCTCCCCAATGAGAAATCCAAGCAGGGCATCATGATTACCCCCACATACACATACCCCCATAACTTCTTCAGGCAACTGTCCCACAAGCCAATTAACTCCTGATGCCATCTGCAAACCACCTCCCGAGTGGCCATTAGTGGCTGGCCATGACCTCAAAGCCAGCCGTACCCCTAAGATACTGAACTGACGAGTCAGGGTGTCTGTGCCCCTGCACTGCTGCTGAGAATTCCATGAGTCCTATCTTACTTTCCATCTTCCTGAGGCCAGAATGGCCC